GACTAGGCTCTATCTGTTGCATCTGTTTTTCTGTCATTTAGCCCAGGAGCTTTGCTTGGATTAGTTCTTGGTCCATTTTGCTGTGTTACTGCAGTGAATTTCTGTTAGTGCTGGGTCTGCTATGTGGGTTCATGCTAGGAAGGCTACTGTTGTGAAGTCCATTTTTGCTGGTGGATGTTAAGCTGCTAGGCTACTATGCTGCTGGGTTGTTTGGTGCTTGAATTAGCTTCTTAATTTCACTAAAGCCTTTACTGCTGGTCTGCTGGTGCTAGAGTTAGCTTGCCCCTCTGTTGTTTGCTTGAGTTAGTTTGCTGGTCTGCTATGCTGCTGGACTGAAGTTGTTTGCTTGTGTTACTTTCTCTCTTTTTGTCTCACTTAGGGAAGTTCTGTGGGGCTAAGTTTTGGTGATATAGGGTTGTGCATTTCTGATATGTTGCTGATCTGATCTCAGTATTGTTGCTCTTTCTGGTGCTGGTTTGGATTGGGTTTGTTCAGTTTTGTTCAGTTTGGGTGCTGAGTGGAGTGCATCCTGCAGGAAATGTGTGCTAACCAGGGTGAAGTCTGGGTTTCCAGTCATGGTCTGAATTCTGTGGCTGCCTATTCTTTTAATTCTTGGTTGCTGATCTGTTATACTTTTTCTTGTTTTGTTTGTTGGTTTCTCACCAATTGGAGCTTGGAGCTTCAATTAGCTCCAAGCTCCTCTTTATTGATGTTGTGTATCTTTTTGCTTGCTCTCATTAATAAAGATTTTCTTCGCCGATAAAAAAAAAAAAAACTATTTTGCCCTTAGTTATATACAAATTATATTTTATCCACTTAAACTATTTTCTTATATCACTTTACCCCTGTTGAACTAAAAATTGTAACACTTTACTCCCTTTACCTATTAATTATTTTCAATTCATGCCTTAGTGACAGAAATACCCGTTTATCTATAAGAGTAAATTACAATTTACCTTTTTGAACTATCACTCAATATCACTCTACCATTCAACTAAAAAAAATGTTTGATTTTTAAATTAAAATACAATTTTTAAGTTTTTTTAAAATAAGTTTTCATATTTTTTTAATTTTAGTAATTTTTTCATATTAGCTAAAAAATTTAAATTTTTAGATGCACCTAAAATTTAAATATTTGTGAAGAATTTTTTTTAAAAAATCAATTTGGGTATATTACACTTACACCCCATGAGATTTCTGTTTAATATAAATTCCACCTTTACGTTTGAAAAATCACATTTCCTTTTCTAAAGTTTGTAATCTCATTACAAAATGCTCCACGGATAGCTGATGTCATGCTTTAAAAAATTTTAAATGACATTTTTGTCATTTTCCTACAATTTCTTCTCTCTATCATCACGACTACATTCTGTAACTTTTCATCATTAAATTCTACCTGAACATATTCTTATTGAGTGATGAAATACAAACATAAATTTTATATAAAATTTTCAAACACAATGATATAGTTTAATGGTGATCTTTCACTTTAAAACAAAACACTCATAAACATAATTTATATTTACAACAACATCACTATCACAATATTTTTATCATATTTTTTATACAAAATTTTATATATGAATAGAATTTTTCATATTTATTCCACCATCATTTTTCTTTCTCGTTTATTCACCCACATTTATTATAGTATACCAAACACCATCATTCACATTTATTACAATATTACTAAAATTTTTATATTTTTATACTTGGTGAATATAAAAAAAAATCACAAAATATTATACTTATCAAGTATATCTAAATTACGTGTATCAAAAAAAATAAAAAAAGGCTTAAAATATTAAAAAAAATCAGCAAAATAAAAACTATAAAAAAAAGAAATTTAATTTTTTGTGTAAGTTAAATCAAAGAAGATGATTGTTATTTCTTTTGAAATGACATGAACAAAATATCAGTATTATTTTATTATTTTATATGTAGAAAGGCTAAGGGGCAAATATGTCAATAAACACAAACCTCAGGTGGTGTTAGTATAATTTACCCATTCAATTTATTATCTTTAGTGAACATTTGATGTTTCTATGAATATTTTTGTTGTTTGGTTTTCAATTTTTTCTCTAACAAATTAGAAATTAATTTAGTGATTAAACGAAAAAATAAGAAAGTCCAAATTGAATGTGATATTAGATGATAGTTTAAGGAGATAAAGTGATATGAGGTGATACTTCAATGGATAAAGTGCAATTTATCCAATTTATGAAAGGGTATTTTAGTCATAAAAGTCGAAATTGAAAAAACAAAAAAATAGATAAGAGAGGTTAGTTGTTTAAATTTTTAGTTGAGGGGGACAAAGTGATATGGGACAATAATTGAAGGAAATAAAATGTAATTTATCCTTTATTTAATTATTTTTTTTTATGAAAATGATAAGATTTTATTAATTAGTGATATTACATATACATGATCACGTGGTATCATGGTTGTATTAAATTTTTTTCACTTATTTTCACATTTTTTTATCTCACAAATGTATAGTTGATTTTAGCGGTAAACAATAAGAATTTATTAGAAAATTCTCTTTCAAATACTTGTTTTCAAATCAGTATATAAAATATTTTTGCATTCCAATAGGTTCTATTATTTTGGATATTTAATCTATCAAATCTTAATTTTTTATATTTTAGATATTTTATGAATAATTCTACTCTTATAAACAATTTTTTGGAAATTTTTTTTAAGATCCCTGATATTAAGGCCTCGTTTGGGAACATGTTTTTTTAGTAACTTTTTGACTTTTTGGCTAAAATGTGATGTAAAAAAGACTAGTATGTTTAGGATGACTTTTTTACTTTTTACAAAAAGATGTGCAAAAAGTAGAGAGAAAAGGGAATATTTGACTTTTTGACTAAAAAAGCCACTTGCCAAACGAGGCCTAAGATTTTACAAAATAAATGACATATAATATTTTTATAGTAGTTAAAATCTCTCAACATTTTCGTAAAGAAAATTTGACTCAAAAAAATTTTGCTCTACTCGGAGAAATTTTAATTTTTATAGAGAAAGTTTAAAATTTCTATTTTTCTTGAAAATTGAAATTTCTCCGAGTCAGACAAAATTTTTTTGAGTCGAATTTTTGTTATGAAAATATTGAGGGGCCTTAGGTAATAAAAAAAAAAAAAAATCTTGGACCTCTTCTATTATACAATTTTTTTTTTTTTACTCATAAAAAGGAAGTTCTGTGGTGTCATCATAGCCTCTGCGGGCCCTGGTCCCGGGGTAGTCGGTTGGCAACCAGATTTAACCAACCCATAGGAAGGGACCACCACTAAGGCACCAATGGAGTTCAACTACACGCCACAGCTAAGGACATGTATCGAGCGGAGTACAGGGCAAACTCTCTGTAGCGATTACAATTGCTTCCAAAGTTGAAGAGAGATATTTCATCTATTCTTTTTTTTTTTTTTAACCGTTACGTAAATATTGACATTAAATAAATTTGATAGTATGAATATTTACATCATTAAACATTTACAATGCCAATGTGAATATTAATGTGTTTATTTTGTTCTATTATTATTAATAATATTTTGATAATTATATCATGTATAAAATTTACTGTAATATAAAAAAATAATTTAAACTAAAAGAAATATATAAAAAAAAAATGATTTATAAGCACATGTCCAATTCTATTTGCACACACCACATCCACTTTTCACACACACTTAATGAAGAAATATGTTGGAGGGTTGTGTGTGGAAGATGTGTATAGAGAGAGGTGTGTGTGTGTGAATAGATGCTCCCACAGATAAGGGAGGTTACTTGTTTAAATTTTTAGTTGAGGGGGACAAAGTGATATGGGACAATAATTGAAGGAAATAAAATATAATTTATCCTTTATTTAATTATTTTTTTTTATGAAAATGATAAGATTTTATTAATTAGTGATATTACATATACATGATCACGTGGTATCATGGTTGTATTAAATTTTTTTCACTTATTTTCACATTTTTTTATCTCACAAATGTATAGTTGATTTTAGCGGAAAACAATAAGAATTTATTAGAAAATTCTCTTTCAAATACTTGTTTTCAAATCAGTATATAAAATATTTTTGCATTCCAATAGGTTCTATTATTTTGGATATTTAATCTATCAAATCTTAATTTTTTATATTTTAGATATTTTATGAATAATTCTACTCTTATAAACAATTTTTTGGGAATTTTTTTTAAGATCCCTGATATTAAGGCCTCGTTTGGGAATATGTTTTTTTAGTAACTTTTTGACTTTTTGGCTAAAATGTGATGTAAAAAAAACTAGTATGTTTAGGATGACTTTCTGACTTTTTACAAAAAGATGTGCAAAAAGTAGAGAGAAAATGAAATTTTTGACTTTTTAATATGGATTATTGATTTTTTAGTTTTTTTAGTAACTTTTTGACTTTTTGACTAAAAAAGTCACTTGCCAAACGAGGCCTAAGATTTTACAAAATAAATGACATATAATATTTTTATAGTAGTTAAAATCTCTCAACATTTTTGCAAAGAAAATTTGACTCAAAGAAATTTTGTTCGACTCGAAGAAATTTTAATTTTTATAGAGAAAGTTTAAAATTTCTATTTTTCTTGAAAATTGAAATTTCTCTGAGTCAGACAAAATTTTTTTGAGTCGAATTTTCTTTATGAAAATATTGAGGGGCCTTAGGTAATAAAAAAAAAATCTTGGACCTCTCCTATTATACAAATTTTTTTTTTTTTACTCATAAAAAGGAAGCTGGTTGGCAACCAGATTTAACCTGGTGTCATCATAGCCTCTGCGGGCCCTGGCCCCAGGGTAGCCGGTTGGTCACCAGATTTAACCTAATCCATAGGAAGGGACCACCACTAAGGCACCAATGGAGCTCAACTACACGCCACAGCTAAGGACATGTATCGAGCGGAGTACAGGGCAAACTCTCTGTAGCGATTACAATTGCCTCCAAAGTTGAAGAGAGATATTTCATCTATTTTTTTATTTTTTTTAACCGTTACCAACTTGGTTATGTGAATATTGACATTAAATAAATTTGATAGTATGAATATTTACATCATTAAACATTTACAATGTCAATGTGAATATTAATGTGTTTATTTTGTTCTATTATTATTAATAATATTTTGATAATTATATCATGTATAAGATTTATTGAAATATAAAAAAATAATTTAAACTAAATGAAATATATAAAAAAAATAAGATTTATAAATACATGTCCAAAAATAATAAGAAGTTAATTATTCAAAGGGATTGATTAGGTAACTGACCGGCTACACCCGGTAAAGTGCACTAGTGCTATACAGATTCAAAGTTCCAGCATTTGCTGTTTGTATTTTACTACCGGGTAAAAACAGGTGTAAAAGTGCAACGAACAGAGAGAGAGAGAGAGATTGATGAGGTCAGATTCGTCCGGAGGGTGAGGGAGTGACGTGTGCGTGTGAGTGTCTGTGTCTGTCTCTGCGTCTGTGTGAGGGGAAGATGATGGGCTCGTTTGATTTGTATCGTAGGATAATTTTTTTAAAATTTTATTTGGTTTAAATTTAAAAAAAAATTTAAAATTACTTTTTTTTACATATTAATTAAATTTTTTTTTCTTTCTTCTCTTTTTTTCAATTACTTTCTTTTTTACACATCTATTTAACTAAATAAAATATCAAATTATTTCAAATTTTCAAACTCTAAAACTGTCTTCAAAATATACAATCAAATAAATTTAAAAAATTTCTAAACTTTTTATCTAATTTTTTAAAATTTATCTCAAAATACAAATCAAACACAACTGATATACTTATGTTGCAGATAGAAGAAAAAATTATTGATTGGCTAAAGTTACACGTGATTATATTCCTAATCAATTATAAATTTTTATACTATATAATTTTATAATTTTAATTATTTAATATAAATTATATGTTTTATTCTTTTATTAACATAAATGAGACATCACGTGACGATACTTATGTAGTAACGATAGAGCTCTAAATTAAGCTCTTCTTATGTGATAATGAGAAAAAAAAAAAAAAATCAAAACATCAAATAATAATGAGCTCCCCTCATTAAAACCTCTTTTAAAATTCTTAATTTAAAGCTCACAAGCATTTTTGGATCAATAACTCCTCAACAGAGAGGGGGTACAGCCACACGCTTCCCCCACCCTCCAATCACACCACTGAAAACTGGGTGCAATCCCAACCCCCACTCTCTTACGTTTTCATCTTCATTTTCTGTTCCGTACCCACTGTTTTCTGAACTCACATCTCGTGGCGTCCTCCCTCATGCAGCGGCGCGTGAAGCGGCGCGTTGAAAATAATGGCACACACTTATATTTCGTTTCGAAAGTGAATTAATTTTTTAATTTTTTTAATTTTTTAAGTATTTTAATTTAGATTAAAAAATCTTGTTTGAAATAATTTTTTTAAAATTTTATAAAAAAATAATTATAATTTAGATATAATATTTTATTTTATTAATTTTTTAATATATTTTATTCTTTAATAATTATTTTAACTCAACTTCACATGCCAAATGAAGTGATATACGGAGAGAGAGAGAGAGAGAGAGAGAGGAGGAATTACATAGGAATAGTAGGATTGTCGGCATTTAAAGCTGGCTTGCGTAAAGAGGAGCTCAATCTCCGACATGGTGACGCTCTCTCTGGGCGTCAACATTCATTTATTTGTTTGTGTCTTCGTCTAAATATTGCCATTAGGTCAGTGCTGTGCGTGTTGTACCTCATTTTGAGATCTATTATAGGCTTATTTTTATGATTTGAATCGTTCATTTTGTAAGATTTATTGAGTATTTTATTCTTATCAAAAATTATATTAATCAGGTATCAATAACTATATGATCGAATTACATATTTTTATACTATTTTTCAAAAGAAAATTTCTTGTTTATTTTTTTGATTATCAATCATATAGTTATTGATATCTGATTAATATGATTTTTCGTAAGCATGAAATACTCAACAAACCCTATAATATAAACGGTTTAAATTATAAAAATAAATCCATAATACACCACAAAATGAGACACACAGTCCCTGCTGTGCTGTGCCGTGCCAAACGCACAACACTGATCTCAATTCCTCCAAAATTAGACCCCAGATAAGGTGAATTTGCTTCCTATCCCTACTCTCTTTTTCTGCGCGTTACGTATGCGCCTCTGGTTTCATTTGGCATTTCTTATTTTGGTTAAATTAAGTAATAATGACAAAGCACGTTAATTTAGTTAATAAAATAAAATATTATATTTAAATTTAAATTATTTTATTTTTTTCTTATAATTATTAAATTAACTAAAAACAGTCAAAATTTATTTGAAATATAATTTTTTTTAATCAAGTTAAAGTCAAAAAATTAAAAAAATAAAAAAACCAAACTAAAGCCTTGTTTAAAAACAAGCTATTTTACTAATTTTTTGACTTTTTATAAAAAGATGTGCAGAAAAGTAAAGAAAGTAATGTGACAACTTATAATAACTTTTTAACTAAAATGTATAGTTGACAAATAAACCCTCAATTAACTAATCCAGGGCTTAGGCCTCGTTTGGGGAGTGACTATTTTAGCTAAAAAGTCATCAAAAAATTACTAAAATAACATGTTCCTAAACGAGGCCTAAGGCCTCGTTTGGAGAGTAGCTATTTTAGCTAAAAAGTCAAAAAATTACTAAAAGTTATCACATCACCTCTCTACTTTTCTACATATCTTTTCATAAAAAGTTAAAAAATTATTAAAATAGTATGTTTCTAAACGAGGCCTTAGTTTCTAATATGAGTGTGCGGGGTGTAATGTGATAATAAAATTATGACTAATAGATGATGAATTTATTGCCAGTAGTCAAATCATAAATAATTATATAATATTTATATAATGTATCATATTAATTTGTATAATATTTTATATATATAAAACACTAAATATTTTTTTTATAATATTTTACATAAATATAACATTAATTTGAAATAAATTTCACATGTTATATCTTTTTTACACTCATTTGATATTTTATTAGATTAAAGAAAAAATATACATGTATTAATATGACGAGATGAAACAATTTTAAAGGCAGATTATAAATTTAAAATTACAGATCAAATCAACAAAGTAGTTAGCATGCAATTCAATGTAGATTGGATGATCTTAGTAGATTGAACGATATTTTACACAACCCTAATTACCACTAGTAATTCTTCAAGTAACTCTAATAGGGAAAGTGAAAATAACTTTATTAAGAGTTAGGCTTTCCTCTAGTCAAAATTTGAATTGGAGAGTGTTGTCCAAACACTTGGAAATCATTAGGGTATTTCTTTCAATCGGATATTTTTATGTATATAATCTACACAAAATTATCTCGATTTGATAATTGAAACCTATTCAATTTATTTTATTTGTCTCCAAAAAAATTATTAAATATATTTTTAAAAATAGATCATTCATTTTTTGGTAACAAATACGATAAATTGAATAGATTATAATTATCGAATCGAGTAAATTTTTTCATAAATGATATACACCAAGGATTATAAAAAATGAACAGTATAAATTATCGAAATAAGGCCCATGGAACCGACATGTTTAGACTGAAGGCAATACAAATCCCTTTATTAAAATTATTTTGCAACTTGATATAGTGTATGGATCAAATTATTTTTTATTAAAATATTTAAAATATTATTATTTTTCTTCCATCATTTTTCCTAACTACATCACCAGTCGCTTCTACTTGGGGGTGCTTGTTTCAGCTTTTCAGAGCCAACTTATGACTTTTAGCTTTGAAAAAGTTATTTTGGACTGTTTGGTTAAACTTATTTTAAACAGTTTCTTATTCTAACAGCTTATTTTAACTCAAAAAAACTGATTCTGAGAAGCTGCTCACCCCTTGCTTCTGATTATCAGCTTCTGCTGTGGACATGTTAATTTATGGTTATACTCTTAAATTTTTTTTTTATCTTTTTAAAAATAGAAAAAGACTCAAATGGACTATAGATTATTGTTATTTTTTTTTTTGAGAAATGTAGACAAACAAAAAATAAAAATTAATTGAAAAAGCTATTTCACAGCTTATTTAACAAACACTACTCAGCAACTTAAATCTATAATCCAACAGCTACACTAAACAGATTAACAACTTCTGATTAAAGTCATAATTTATAATCTGTTAAGCTATAATCTATAAGCTGTTTTAACAGCTACACCAAACAGAGCCTTGGTAATATTGTATTGAGATTTTAAGCCCATTTATTAATTGGGTTTGGGATGAGGATTTCTATCTCGCCAACATGAACCACTCATTTTATGAAGTATTAATTTTTATTTTCATGTTACTTTTATGCACAATAAACTTGAAAAATACTATATATACACGTTTACTTTGTATGATTTAAACTCAAAATATTTATTAAAAGGTTCAAATATATTTTTATTATTATATCTTTTTAATCAACTAAACCAAATAACTATTAAAAGCGTGAGATTAATTTAATAACTTTTCATGAAAAAAAGGGAAGAAGAAACTCAGATACATTTGAATTAAGTAGACAAGTTTAGAATTAAAAAAAAGTGTTTATGTGGTGTGTATACGTGTGATGATAAAAAGGGCATTTGCCTTTGGGACTACCTCCTCGGTCAAGCCCCCAGGTATTTACACGCCGCCACCACTTTTTGCTTCCCGAAGAGACCCATGTAATTATTGTATCAATGGCTCTTAATTTTTTTCTCTTACTTGCTCAAAACGGTTTCTAATTCTAAAAAAAAAAAAAAAACACTTATCAATATGGTGAATTTTTTAAAACTAATCAACGATTGTTTCCTAATTCTATTATTAGGTTTTTATTCGCGTTTGACAAAACTCCTTTTATTTGTATTTTTTTTCGCTCTTTTATTTCAGTAAGGTTATGAGTACTTAGATGCGAATCCAATTCGAATTAAGCTTTGCAGAGAAGTTTTAGAAGATAATTTTTTCATATTTGCCACTTTGTTGACTATGACGGGAATTGAGTAGCTCGGTCAGCTCGCGGGGGTCCAGGGGGCAACGCCACAGCGGGGTTGAGGGGCAACGCCCCCGAAGCAAAATGAAAAAATATATTCGAAGTTGCTTGTCCGCCCTTGCTCGCTCGAGCGAAGAAGTCTTGGCTCGAGCGAAGAAGTCCTACTTTTAGAAGCTACGTCTGTCTACCAAAATCCTGAGAAGGAAGATTGTACACTCGGGCAAAGGAAGCTTGGCTCAAGCGACGCCTCTTGAGAAAAACACGCATTTTTGTTTCCTCGCTGCTCGAGCGAGTTTCGCAGTCTCTGTTTTCTATAAGTACTTGTTTTAGTCCAAAAATAGGATTACGTTTTTGAGATCTTCTTCTTGGATATTAGGGTTTATATCTGGAGTTAGTTTGCTAGTTTTCTTTGATGTTTGATTGAGTATTCAACTCATGGTTTGAGAAGTATACATCAAATGATTGTTTGTTTATTTTATACAAAAGATAGAGTTGTTCTTTAGTGGATTCTGGGGAATTCGAGCCTAAAACTTTAATGGATTCTAGAGTGGCTCATTGACGTGATTCGACATCGGCGTTGTGGATTTAACGTTGGGCAAGACAATTCTGAGGTGAAGATGGGGCTGGAAGAGGCACATAGGGGCTGGTTCAATTCGGGCGTGGATTCGCCAGGCAATTGAGAGTATACCTGTGTAATTCCTTTATGCCTTTTTAGTGGATTGTTTTGTGACTTTTGCCCATGATTTTTTTTTATCACTATTGGAAGCACTCAAATTGTGATTTTTTCACGTTAAAATTGTTGTGTCGATTTGTCTTGATTGTTTGATTGGGATTGGTATTTATTGCTTAAAATTGACACATAATCACAAATCAATATCTAGGGGATTTCTAGATTTTTCAATTGGTATCAGAGCAGGTAGCTTTATTTTTTTAAAAAAAATCTTTTAGAGTGAGATCTTTTTTGATTTGTGATAATGGATTCAATTCGTGAGGGAAATTCTATGTTTCGACCACCTCTACTTGATGGATCCAATTATTCTTTTTGGAAAGTTCGGAAGAGATCGTTTTTAAAATCTATTGATGAAAATTTTTGGCAATCTGTCATGTATGGGTGGACCGAACTGACGATTACCGTTGATGGAGTAACTTTTTCCAAACCAATTGATAAGTGTGACACAATTGATTATTAAAATAGTAGCTAGAATAGTAAAACTATCAATTCTCTCTTT